CCTGCGTTTGCGAGGCCCCCGGGCCCCGCCGCTTCCGGCTTGTGGCTGAGAACTAGCCGTGCCCTTTAGCGGCGCCGGCGCTTGGTCTGCCCCGACTGGGGCTGAGCTCACAAGGATTGTGGTTTCTGCCTTTCCTCCCCTCCCCTTCACCCCCAGACTCGGCTCTTGAAGCATCACCACCCACATCATTACTAAAGTGGAGTAGATAAGTGTCTTCTCTTCCGTAATTTCCTCTTCCCAGATTTTTTTTTCCCGTGTGCGCAGATAACTTTTTCTTGTGGTCAGAAAAGTTGACAGAGGCCTAAATCCTGAGGTGCTTTTAATTCCCTGGGGGGCGGGGGGGGGAGCGGGTGGTGAGAGCACAGATTCAGAGCTGATTTATTCGGATCGTGTGGTTTCTGCCCAGGGCGACCTGTGCCTTCTAGAATAGAAAACCCGGCTTGCTCTGCTCTCCGGCGCCCCAGACCCTTCTTCCGAGGCCGTGGGATGGTCTGTGCCTTTGCTGCCGGTGGAGGGGACCAGATTCCAGCTCTTACAGTTGAGAGTTGCTTGGGGTGTATTCATGTCAAACGCAAGGTTAAGGAGCTTTTGATCTGGTACTGCTGGTTTAAAGAAAAGACTTACAAAACTTTTTTTAAAAAAGCCCTCATCTTCACGGGTCTTTGAAATGGTCCTGGATCAGAGATGAGTCTCTGGTCTGCTTCTCTTCCCCGGTGTATTCCACTCACCCGCGTCCCCGCGCACTTTCAGCTTCCCTACTGGGTGGGTTTAAAGCTGATTTGTCAGCCCTGGGGTTCTTTCAGCTGGAGTGTTAGCAGTCCAGGCAGGTAGGAAAGGTACCCACTTAACTCTTCACCTGCCACGTCAAGTTCACTGTCATGGAGACTCAGTTTATATAAAAGGGCGATTGTGTGGTTTGGGCCTGCGTACCGGAGGTTTTTTGGTAACCAGAATGGTATTCCTTGTGAGGGCTTTTTTGGTGGGAAGGGTGGGTGGAAAGAGACTCTTTCTTTCTTGGGTAAGTACTTGCAGTATGTATGTCCCCATTAGCACTGGAATCTGTCAGCACCATGCGCTTCTGCTTTTTTAATGCAAACAGAACAATAAAGGGGCTTCTGCGAGTTTGTGGGCTCTGTTTGCCTTCCCATTAGTTATGGCCATACCTCAGCTTTACTTTGTTTTTTTCCTACAGTTACTTCCCCTTGAGGTGTTCACTCTCCACCTCTTTCAGCATTTAATTTGTAATATTTTTCTATTATAACTCAAAGAATGTGTTTAGGCATACAAATCATTGCCTAAGTGTTCAAAATTAATTGCAGGCTTTTCAGCAAAAGCAGTCATATTCATATCATGATTTTTACCCTTCAAAGAAAGCACTACATTTCTTGATGATGTTATTCTCGTGACGTCTTATATTGTAAGTAGAGCCACTATCTCCAATGTAGAGACGGGGAAACATACAGACAGACAGATTTAGAGACACCATTAAATCAACGAGTTGTTATTGTGTACTTACTATTAGCCAGGTGCTGTACTGGTTGAGGGGGCTAGGAGAGGTGCAATGGTAAAAAACACAGACAGAGGTCTTTCACAGAACCTTCAGTATAGACCAGCAATTGCCCAATAGAAATATAATGTGAGCTATATACGTAACTTAAATTTTTCTAGTAGCCACATTAAAAAAGTAAAAAGAAACTAATTTTAATAATATATTTAACTGAAATATGTTGAGAATATTGTTGTTTCAACATTTAACCATGATAAAGTTACTCTTAGAATGGTTTGTATATTTTTTTTGGACTAAGTTTTCAAAGTCCGGTGTGTATTTGATACTTAAATCACATCTCATTTGGGATTAGCCACATTTTAAGTACTCAAAGCCACTGTGGCTAATGGCTACTGTATTACACAACACGGGTTGTGTGAATGTGTGTGTGTGTGTGTGTGTGTGTGTGTGTGTGTGTGTGAGAAAGAGAGAGAAAACAAACACAAGGTGGGGAGGAGTGAGGGCTCCAGAGGATAAGACAGGCAATTTCTTGAGAGTCAGGCAAGTAGATGTGATGAGCGCAACCCAGAAGCAGCGTCCAGTCCAGGCCAAGGGTTACGCTGGAGAACAGATGTTTAAGCTGAGATCTGAATTGCTCTAAGTCGCAAGGTTATTTAGTGGCAAAGTGGATTGCTGGAAGCGAGAAATTAAAAGCCTTAATTAGAATTTGCTCATGTGTTAGTGTGTGACTTGTAACTAGGCTTCATTTTTTCTGTTAAAAATAAAAAAAAAGAATGGTTGATTTGCAGACCTAGTGGAATTAGTATAAGGTGCTAGCCGTAGAAATGCTTTTCTAAGAACATTTATAGATAAAAACGCAGTGCCTTTGGAACTGAAAACTTTATTTGCCGTGTGTGTGCCCTGAGGTGCCTGGGACAAGATTTATTTCCAGTCTCACAAAAGTCGGTCATCCTTGGCAAAAGGAAACTTATGAACTAAACAATGCAGCAGTTTTTGAATACAGCAGTTTTTATTTCTATTCTTTGTCCTCGTGGAGGATCTTCTCATCAATACGCCCCCAGTCTCCTGTGTGGCAGAATATCGTGCCCATCTCAGTTAGGTGTACACAACGTGCTACTTGGAGAGTGTTAGGGGAAGAAGCATCTGTGTTCTGGTCAATTAAAGATGATGAGCTGGGCTTTCCTGGTGGCGCAGTGGTTGAGAGTCCGCCTGCTGATGCAGGGGACACGGGTTCGTGCCCCGGTCCGGGGAGATCCCACATGCCGCGGAGCGGCTGGGCCCGTGAGCCATGGCCGCTGAGCCTGCGCGTCCGGAGCCTGTGCTCTGCAATGGGAGAGGCCACAGCAGTGAGAGCAGAGAAGAGAATACAGCAGTTGTAATCTTTTTTTTTTTTTTTTGAGCCTCATACAATGTGCTGGCAGTTTATAAAATCTAAGCCTCACTATAGCCCTAGGAGTCAGTCTGTCTTATCTTACTCTCTGTGCAGATTAGGAAATGGAGACTCAGATTAAGTAGCATGTCTAAGGTCCTAATGCTAGGAAGTGGCCGAACTGGGTTTTGAACCCAGTTCCCACTGATGTTGAAGATAGTAGAAGTCTTTCTTTGAACTAGAATACCAGTTCATTCCAAGTGATTTCTGAAGACACTGAAAAAAGCTCCCCGGAGTCCCAAATTAGTTGCAAAATAGGAAAAGCCGTCTCCTCTCTCCCTTCATGTTGAAATTGCTATAAGGAGGAGAGGGTTAAGTCAGGCAACTACAACTATTTTTTCATTGTTTTTTGTGCAGTTTCCAAATAGATCCTCTAAAGTGACCAAAATTATAGTCACTGATGATCTTACGGTGTGCCAAGGCCTGTTTTGAGACTTCACCACATGGAGTAACTCATCGAATCCCCACCACAACTCCACGAAGCAGGTGCTGCCGTTTTCATCCCTGCTTTACAGATGACCTGGCCAGAGTCACCCATTGGGTGAGTGGCAGAGCCTGGATTCAAAGCCAGGTGGCCTAGCTCTTGGCTTCATGCAGATTGCCCCGCCTTGCTGCTGAAGGCCAGTCTAGCAAGTGTCTCTAGTAGGATTAGGTTAAACTAAACAGGCTGCTGCAAGCAAATGTGTTTCTGTGGAGCCTTTGAAAATTCCTAGTTGAGTCGAAGTTTTCTCAAAGGTCTGACCCCCAAATCTTTTGGGGGAGGGCCTATAAAGAAAAGTCCTCATTCTCATCTTATTAGTCTTAAGTACTATAATAGCCCATTAAAAACAAAAATCTAATCTCTCTGGCCAAGCATTCTATTAGAGAAATGTGCATGTTTTTATCTTGAGCAGCCTGAACTAATGATCTAAAAGTGGGCTGAAGCATTACCATCCTAGGGCAGGTTGTAAGGACCCAGCATTGGTTCAGTTCATCCAGCACACAGCTGCCCAGTCTGGGGGCCTTTTTGTTCCTCACTGCCCTGTTTCCCCTGAAAGCATCCTACCTGGTAGAAACAGATGCTGCCCAGTATTTCACGGGCAACTTGCTCATGGCAGCGGGAGGCAAACACTTAACTTGGTGCATCACTTTTCTATGAGAAGACACTGTTGTGAAAGAGAGGGGCAGAGCTATCAGAAAGCCTGATTTGTGGTGTCTACCACTCTGCTACTGCACGGGTGTGTTCTTGAACAAGTCACTCAGTGTTTCTGAGCATCAATTTCTTTATTGCCCTTGATTCATAGGGATGGTGGTTTGCTTAACTAGCCTCCTTATTTGGCTCTAAAATGAGTATAATGTTACTTCCCCCAATTACTACCCAGATTCTTGGGAGAAGCAAATGAGAATGTATTAGAAGACATTTTTGCAAACTGTAAAGTACAAATATGCACTGCTCTTAGTGTTCTTGGATTTTTCCCATCAACGGTGACAGAGAAGACATCTGCTTTAGATATGGTTGACACCTGTTTTAGGATGACTTCTCTTCTTAGGAAGACAAGGGAGTACAGTTAAGAAAGAAATATAGCCCAAGGGCAAAGAGCAAGGAGAATACGTCCCCCTATAGGCATAGCCCGTTCCTCAGCCTCTGCACTGTTGACACTTGGGGCTGGATCATTCTTTGATGTGGACCCCAGTGGGGGCTTCATGGCGTTGTGGTGAACAACATACCAGCCTCCACCCACTAGATGCCAGTAGCACTCTCCCCTCATGGTGACAACCAGAAATTTCTCTGGGCACTGCCAGATGTCCTCTGGAGGGTAAAACGACAGTTGAGAGCCACCGGCCTGGGGTTCTCCATTCACAATCTCCCGAGCCCTGTGTGATATGGAACTGAATCGTTATCAGAAGGTGGAATAAGGCTAAAGAGGTTGGGAAGCATGGTTTTAGTTTGGGAA